AAAGACTGATGACATCATGTCAGCGCCAGACAGCCGGCTCGCACCACCACTCTGATAGGCCCCTCTCCTCCCTCTCCCCCCCCCCCCCCCGCCCATTCGAACCTCTCCCACTTTCTGGTTTTTAAACTGTTTACAGCATCACCAGTGCCACGCACCTGTGCGTCCAACGTCAAAAAGAACATGCCTCTCTCGCTGTTGGAAAAGAAAGATGAGACGAGCCTATTTGTTGAAAAAGTACAGAGGGGGACGGAGGGGGTGGAGAGACATATTGATGGCTACATATTAAACATGCTTTCTTTTCTCACGTTTGCAGTTGTGTGTGTTTTTTTTTTTCCTCTTTCTTTCTTTGTTAAATGTACTGAACTTAGGGAAAAAAATATTGTAATAAAACTGGTATACTGACTATTGTTATCTTTCACATGTTAAGAGAAATGAGTGACAAACATGAACTTGCTGCTTGTCAAATAAACAAATAAATAAAAAACACTGAAAGCTTTCATGTAAATACTTGTGATATGTCCATTAGAGAATTCTCGCAGAACGTGGTTGACAAGTCTTTACTGCTGTGCTAAAATTAAATTCTTTTTTAGTTTTTGTGAGAATGTAGAGTTTTTCCATCCTTTTGCTATTGGCTGGTGTGTATCTGATTTACTTTTAACTTTTTGATGAGCTTCTTTCCCTTTTCATTCTGAGTCATAAAAGGCTCTATTTGGTATACTGCCCTCTACTGGACAGCTAATGTAGGTTTTAATTTCTTCCTGCCAGTTCACCCTTACACCTATATAGTAAAAAAACCCCAACAAATTAAACTCAAAGTTCGAGTGTAATTAGTTTTTAAACAACTATTTTTATGTTGTAAAGTATTTACCGTAATAATTTGTAATTTGTATCAATGTTAAAATAATTTAAAATAAATTAAGAACTTACATTTTAAAGTGACAGAAAAACTGTTTTAATTCATGTTTGTCATTCATATATGAAATCACATCAACCCGAGTGGATTTGAAATACTCTTTGACAAGTACATTAGTATAAACATATTTTTACGCACTTTACGTCCGCGCCTCATTGTGATTGGCGCATTTATTTGTTTCGTGGTCTCGCGCTGAGTGCGCGTGAGCGTGAGAAAACGAGGCAGCTGTCCTTGGTGCTGACGTCAGCTTAAAGAGACATAAAATATCAAGTCCCCTGTTCAGGACTCATTTGCTTCGGAAATTGTTCGTCTTTTAAGGAGATGTCACGGCTAGCGCTCACGGTATGTATCTAATTTCCAAAGAAACGGACATTGCAACGGCCTGTACTCTGGCTGTATGAGCCTCTTTGAGGCGTACAGACAATAACGGCCTCGTGGCGCAACGGTAGCGCGTCTGACTCCAGATCAGAAGGTTGCGTGTTCAAATCACGTCGGGGTCAAAGCTTTTCTCCTCTCGAAACAGGAGGCCACAGTGAAATTCATACGTTAATGGATGATGTCATTATAAAATATGCATGGTCAGATGCTACAACTTGCTTGGATGCTTGTTTTTCCATCCACATGCTCCTCGAGTTGATAATTAGCAGCAACCAGGCCCTTTGGAGGACACACTAATCACGTGAAGAAGGTGGAACAAGACCCAAATTTTGTGGTTGTTTCATAGCAAACCGTGAAATACGCCTTCAACACACCGTAAATGTCTGTTTATTCCAGATTAACTGTGTGCAACGGCCTCTGGTTGCATTTGTTAACCCATAAAAGCTGGGGGCCGAAACAGTGACATCGACTCTCAATGTTCAACATGCGCCCCAAAAACCACAAACAAGGCAGTTAAGGATTTTTATTTATTTTTTATTTTTTCCAAAAACTACTGAAACATGGCAAGAAGACCAGGCAGAAGGAAATGCATTCATCAGCTTCTCCTAGTCATAATTGCAATTTGTAAATAAGAGCAAACCTCATGTATCAACATTAAGATTTTGTCAAAACTGTAAACTGGTAAACAAAATAAGACATGTCACAATTAAAAGCAGCAGCCAAAATTACTCCTTTGTTTTTGGGCTTGACGTGCTCCCGCCTCATTGCACGTTGAACGTTTTGGTGTCTCACTCAAGATTGTGGATTAACGTTGCCTTGAGCTAATGATTTTTGTTTTTGTTTTTTTTTTTTCATACAGCTCGTAGTGGAGCTGCTGTGCAAGCCTCAGCATGCGTCAGGGCCTTCATTAAAGCAATGTCAGACATTGTCGAGTGTGTGTGGTTTTACCTCGATCCTTCAGGTTTTAAATCGTACAATCAAGCGAGGCACCTGGCCAACACGACATTCCCTCTGAATGTTCTTGTACAGACTCAGCTGCTTCGTTCTGATGAGCAACTGCATCAAGATGAGGAGGGGAAAAAGAACAAAACAAACACTCAAGCAGTTGTTTTAGCCTTGATTCGAATAAACTCATCAGTGCTTTGGCTGTTTTGCAGTTTTCTGGAAGTTTGCTCCGGATTTGTGGTGCTTCACAAGACTCCAGCCCTGCCCCGAAGTCCAGGAGCAACCGAACTTTGTTGCTCTTCCGTATTTTCTTGCCAGATCCCATTTATGTGCGTGTTTGAGTTCACTCAAAGAAGACCGCCTTCCATCAAATGAGCCACAAGGACTTCTCAAACACTCAAAGTTATTGTCAGTACCTCGGTTGCCTTCGGTAGAAAGCTCTACTCGAATCCGCAGGGGGAACGTCAAGGAACTGTTGCCATTTTGTTAGTGAGTCGGTATCAAAGCGGTCTTTGTAAGTACTGACACCTCATAGTGTGATGTAACCATGTCATGACATTAGGACGAACTCTGAACGCCCGTTCTTCAGACCGTGTTCCAGCACGCAGGGTAAACACCTCCATGGCAGTCAGAACGCACACAGAGACAGGCAGTCGGTGTTTACGTCAACTCCCTTGTGTTGCCAGTCTGCTTTCCATGCAGGGCATGTCTGGAAATGCATAAACGACGAAGGTGTGTTTCCCACACTTTCAGTAACCAGTGGAGGTGGGGGGTTTATAGAGCAGGGCTCTATGACTACCAATCTTCAATTCTCTGTCAAATACCTTTTTTTTGTTGCTAGTTTCACTTATTCCCAAAGGTAGACTTCTTCATTCGGAGGGCCTAAGGCAAAACACCGGCATCGTTTCAGTCCTTATTTCTCTGAAAACAAGTTTGTCGGTACAGTTTTCACTTTAATAAAATATTGCTACTTTTTTTGCTGTCAAAGTCCTAAAATCTTGGGTGGCTGTTTAAAAAAAAATCAAGAACTGAGTTTGTAAATCATCATGTGGCCAGCAAACCTTGGTACAAAACAATGGTTGCTTGTTTTCATCATTTAGCGCTGATTACTGTGATTAAATAAACTTCAATTGAAAATGACATTAAGATTTTTTTTTTGCAGAAATGTGTGCCATTACATAAACTGTAAAATTATAACTACGTGATATTCATTCTCTACTCATGGTTAAAAAAAGGTGCACATATTCAAATTTGTGTTTTCACATTTAATATTTTTCTCTCAGCCACCACTAGGTGGCGATAGCTACATAAAAGTGAAAGCAGGTGCGTCGTTGCTGCACGTCATCGGCAAGATCCAGGAAAAAATAACGTGTGGAAACAGTTCAGCTCAGCTTCTCGTGCATTTCCTATCAAATTTAAAAGCTTCACAGAACTCACAGCATTTGCAAACGAGCAGACCACAGAACACATTTCCCTCCAGAGTCAGGTGTATCACCGGACATACAGCTGAGGCAGAATATGTTAGATTACGCCTCTGCAGGCCGAACCCTGGCCCCTACAAACAGAAGAAATAAGGAAGTCATAGAGCATGGTCTGAAGTTATTATTGCAATAAACAGAGACATCTGACACCGGGCAAACACTCGGGCCTCGCTTAGAAAACTTCAGCCCCTGTGACACCCTAATGCTTGTACTGACACTGAATGGTTCTGGACCTGGTTTGTCCATGCTGAGCCGACGTTCATGTTCACTCATTTGGACTACATTGGATCATAAAGAGTCAGAGCTGCAGGGAGCGAGGGAAGCTCCACAGAAAGGTTTCAGCTTTTCTCTGTGAACTGGGTCATGTGTTTTATCTATCCTTTGGTATAGTTCTTATCCAGCTATGCAGGTCAATAATTCATACACAGTATAATTCCTCCAATTAGAACGTGCTCTGCAGATAAGACTCGTAAGACTTTAGCAAACATATTCTCTTGTTTTGCCTTTTTTTGTATGTTAAGGTATATTTGATGTCTGCACAATTACAACAGGCAGGTGTATTTTTTTGTGACAGACTCAAGTATTTGTGGATTTGAGCTGTTGCACGTCAATACACTTTGATCTAACTATTTCATTGTTGCTTGAAAGAAGAATCTCACACCATACTTCCTCTATGATGCTCCATATTTTGGTATTAATCCAATAGCAAATAAACACAGGGGTTGTATTGCTATTGTTTTCATTATGTAAGTTGATGTATCATCAAACTTTCGTCCTGAACGAGAACAAAATATGTCAATGACAAATTAATATGATCAACAGACACGGCAAAAAAAAAAAAAAAAAAAAAAAAAGAACAGCAACAAAAAAGCGAAGCATATATCTTAACACACTGATATCTTGAGTTGATATTGGCACCGTGTTGACCTGGAATCAATATTATCGTTATTCTGTATCGACCAGGCCACTTCTATTTCATCTCACCAGACCAGAATCCCTGCGTTCACGTTTTTTTTTTTTTTATGTCTTTGCATGTCTTGAACTAAACTGAACTCGAATGCACTTATATTTGAAAGCCAAGTCAGGTTAAAAAACCCCAAAGTGTAGTCGTTGCAAAAAATAAGACAGGTCAAGAAATAAGACTCCAAAGTGCATTACAGTTATAATACCAAACCTTTTTTGTTTGTTTGTTTGTTTCTTTGACAAAAACTACCCATTTCACTTTCAATCGTCAAACAAATAAAAACAACAGACTCCAAACTAAAAGTGGAAGCGTAAAAAAGTGGGATTTCATCGACGGGCGGCTCAGGCTTGGGGCTGCCGAGCACATTCTTCGTGCCTGCTCGAACATGTGGCTCTCGCGCAGTGTCAGTTGTCAGCTGTGCAGTCGGAGTCGGGAAGGCTTTTTCTTTTTTTCTTTTTCTTTTCCTTCTTGGGAACTTAAAAGCAAGTGAAGTGAGTCAGTGAGCGCGGCACGAGGGAGGTAACGCCACCCAGCCCCGCCGCTGGGATCCTGCGCGTGCAGCTTCTGCCCGCTTCTCCTCGGAAGACTTCGGCAACGCGGCGAAGAGCGGCTCTTCTATCTCGAGGGATTTTGACTTGTTTCACCTTCACCCGTTTCCACTTTCTCTCTTTCTTTCTCTCTCTCTCTCTCTCTCTCTTACACACACACACACGTTCGCGGGATGGTTGTCGTCGTCGTTCGGACGCGGCTTTTTCCTCTTTGGGATTAAAGCAGCAGCGGAGGAGACATGAAAGTGACGGTGTGTTTCGGGAGGACGCGCGTGGTCGTTCCGTGCGGAGATGGGAACGTCAAAGTGCAAAGCCTCATCGAACAGGCAGCCATGAGGTACAAAAAGGCCATTGCAAAGGTAGGTCTCCCCCTATTCCTCTCTCTCTCTCTCTTCCTCTCTCTCTTACACGCGCACACAACGCACGTTCTCTCTCTCCTGCGTGGAAGTGATTTTGTAACGTCTGCTTTGGATTCACACCGGGGAGCCTCAACATGGCGCTCTCTTTCTCTTTTTGCTTTTTCCCTCGGGAACGACTGGAGACCCCCAGGTGTCCCTCCTGGACAACTTCCCCTCCCAACCCGAATTGTATTTATTTATTTATTTTTGACAAAACCGGCAATTACAGCTAAATAACACTCAAAACTTCTCCCACACGTGAATGTCTGATTTAAACTTTTTATTTTTATTTTTTTTCCCCACTCCTCTATGAGAACTTTGAAGAAACAAAGTAAGGAAAATTTCAGAATGAGCAGGAATTCAAACTGGGTGGGGACGAAAAAAAAAAAGAAGACCCGCGCTGTGTGACTGCAGGTATTTGTGTGTAATTACACAAGGAGGGTTGCTCAGGGAGATCAGGTGAATTGGGCAATAACTTCTTTCCATATCGTCTGATCCGGAGCATCCAGCATCTGCCTGCTGCATAATCCTCTCTGACATTCTCTCTTTAGGCTCACACGGTTAAGAAAAAAAAAAGTTCAACGTGATCAAGTTTAACGTGATAGCTTTGTTGTTTTCTTGTGCCTTCGCTCCAGACCCGCAAAATACAAATAAAAGAATTCCTGCTTGGTGCTGTTGCCGTGGTGTGTGCCAGCACTTTGCCAATTGGTTCTATTCTCATTGGAGTCTCATCAGAGGAGGGGTCTGGTTCTCTCAAATTTCCAATTAGGCGTGTTCGAGATTCTTCTGGCACGATTGCTTTGGCTTGGTTTATGCAAAACTGTAGAACATGGTCTGATTTCCTCTATTTAAAACCGTTGCCAAACAACTCGTCGACTTTTTCTGTAAAAACATCTCGGTAGGTTAGTGGCTGTGGAACTCAACAGGTAGGCCAAATTTCAAAACCATCTAATTATTTATTATTGTTATTTACTAAAGGTGAGATGGCTCTTTGCCCAAGTTGTGACTCTGTTAGGGGGAGGCACAACAGATCAAAAATAAGTCGTCATCAGTTGTGGGTACGGAAAAGACTGAGTTGCCCTGAGAGTCGGGACTGCAGCTTTTCTCATGGTGAGGTTTGTACCTGGACAGACCTTTATTGAAGTTTCCAGTCGCCTGACTGAATTTGATCGGTATTTAGCTACATTCACACACTAGGTCTTTACATTTACAATTTTTTGCTGAAATCCAATTTTTATTTTATTTTTTTTTTTGCGTGGACAGTCATGCTATTAATTATGGTAAATGCGACCTCATTAAAACTTCTCCATGAACGATTTTAATTTTGGCCTTAAGTATGTTTAACAAAGGGTTATAGGGCAAAGGTTAATAAATGACAGGGGGAACCAGAACTGTTGCTGCTCTCCTGAGAAAGCCCGTCAGCTTTACAGTGAAACAGCGATTAATCTGATCAGCTTTATTGGTCATCCTGAGGAGCATTTCCTCCCCAGACGTACACCGGAAACAATGCAGACATCTCTCTCCTCTTCTTACCAGAGCTTCATGCCTTTCCTCACCTCAGCAGAATTCAGGCGACTCGTCCATTGATCCATGCAGCCGTGGATTTGAAAAGATCTGATGTAGTTTCCCCTTGGAAAATGCTTAGCTTTGCTTGTGTAAGACAAGGCCTTTCAGACCACACAAAAGATGTAATCTCTCCTAGTTTTATAGGTTTACAGCTGCCAGCATCTTGCTCGTCATCTATCGTAGTGCAATGGATTTCTTTCGATGCAGTCTCCTCTGGCATCTTGTGATACGAAAGTTTTGCTCAGTGTTTGCTATGGTTTGACATAATAAGCTGAGACCTTAGAGAAAGTGAAAAAAGTGTCTTCCCCGGAGTGTAGGGTCTCAGATTTCAAACCCCTCTCTGAAGAGATGCTTCTGAAAGATGTGACGGACTGTAAAAAGACTTCACTTTCAATAGCAGTACATATTTTTAGTCTCAGATGTCTGGTGTGTACTCCATTTGAATCCACTTATAATGCCTTGCAGAAGTTTTCACACCCGCTTTTTTTTTTCATTTTTGCATTTGATTGCTTTTTGATCATAGACTTCAACATATTCTATTGGGATATTCTGACAGACATACTATAAGACGATAACTTGTCTTCTAATCTCCTTAAAAACAAGATATGCATTTACATTCAGCTTCCTTTGCACTGCCACCAATTCAGAGCATCAATTCAATTTAAACTTCGCCACAAACCACGTAAGAGGACACGTGCAAGAAAGATGCTAAACTCCAGATGTGGTGGGAAAATACCACTGGATATCGGTCTAAAAACACAATTTCGATGGTGAAACATGGAAGTGCTCTAGATCATGCTCTGTGAATGCTTATTTTTGAAAGAGGAGACGATGGGAAGACAGATAGAGGTAAATACAGGACAGTCTTTGGAGAAAACCTGTTAGATGCTCACAAAGACTTAATGCCTAGAACACACAGGAAGATTTTTAATACCAGTATTTGTTCAGAAATCTTAAGGATGTGCTGATAACTGGGACAGCTCTAACGATAATTTTAAGCAATATTCCTGCCATGTGTGGAAAGTCGTGGCGACCACTTCAATCTAAAATTTAACATGTTGAATTGTCATGGCCCGATATTAGAGGGTGACTGGCATCCCCCAAGGACAAACAACAACGCAGCCTGTTGAATGTGACATATAGCCAATCAAAAAGCCAGGTGACAGAAAGATGGAGCGGATTAACAAAAAAGTCCTGTTGGACGTTGGAGACATCACTGAATTGTATTTCCTCTGTTAAATATGGTCCACAAACTATCGCCAATGCTTCTTCTCTCTCTTTGCGTCGAAGGGTTTTGAGATCCCCTGTTTGACATCTAAATGTTGGTGAGCGAAATCAGTTGGTGTTTGGTGTTTTGCTTCTGCTGGGTGACTTGACACCATAAACCGTACGACCAAACCTGTTAAACCTACGATTTTGTATCATCACGTGCTGTCTCTCAGGTTTTGAAAGTTGGTCAGTAATTTTAAAATCTTGCCATGTGAACCAGGTGCAAAACAATAAAATGGAACAGCTTCAAGTAATACAAACGGCAATGACTGCTGTTCTGAGATTTCTCTGTCTATATTTGTTGCATATATTGAATAGGCTTACTGTCCACTTTGAATTTGATTGCAGCAGCTGAGCTCAGTCATTGTACATCCCATGCTGATGTAACGGAGCTTCCCCAGGGACTCTTGATGCTTTTGTCACTATGTCTGTGGGGAGCAAAAAAGAGGCATCGGTTGCCCTGTCAAGCGATATTACCTTCGGCTCCAATCTGATGTTACAATCAGCACACTCAAGGAAGATTAGAGCCGCTCCTTCCCTTATGTTGCTTTATGCTCTCAGAGCGTTTGTCTTTACTGCTCTTCTCCTCAAAAAGCAGAAGCAATAAGAAGATGTGATTGGCAGCAACAGATCTCAACTCGTCATTGTGAAACTAGAGTCCCCTAACGGACAATGTGTGGTAAATAACAAAAAGGCATGCATATGCTCACTCGCACCATCCATAGTTTGTGGTTCGACACTGAGCTTCTGATTCTTTGAAGAGCTGCATTTCAGGGTGGTTATTCATCCTCTGCTTTTCCCACAGTTGCTGAAGCTAAATGTACGATAAAGCCCTAAAGCACATAATTGGCCTTTTTTACTCCCCCTAGACTCCCTAAACACAGATTTAGTGACATGTCACAACACAGCCACACTGTTAGGATATACAAATGCAGAATTTTCTTATTGGAACAAAATTATAAGTCAAGACTGGAAGTTGCATATTTCGATACCAGTGTTTCATTTAAGCAGCTCCATTATCTGCATATGAAGAACATGTGTCCTTTGAGCCAGAAATTTAAGGGAAGCTTCATCCTTTAAGCCATTAATCTGTTATAGACCATAAAGATCTATAACAGATTAATGTTATAGATTACACATGACATCATCCATCATGCCATAAGAAGCTTATAGATTACAGTGACTCTTTAAAAGTAGCGGTGCATTGATAAATCTATATGATTTGGAAAATTGGTATTTAGCCAATACTTATAAGTAAACCACTACCTCTGCAAATTTATGAAAATCAATCACTTTCCCCTTTTGGCTCTGACATAGGAGGGGATTGACAGACCGATCAGCCTACCAGGTTAACAATAGTCACCTCACCATTGCCAATTTAGCAACTCCTTCAGAATATTTAGTGACTTTTCAGACAAAAAAAGTTGTATAAAAAAAACCTGATTCTCTGTAAGACTAAGTGTTGTGTAAAAGACACTTAGTCTTTTACACAATTCAGCAATTGTGCATGGAAAAGGTATTTTTCATGCAACCAAATGGTTCTGAAAATATTTGTTTGCCCTGGATTCTGGATTTAGGGGTTGTCATATTAAAATGCTCATCACACTTTCCAGAATTTTCTCTGCAAATTCAAAACTACTTTGTGCTCATGGGTTTGGTTTGAGAAGCACGCTTTTGCAAAGGACTCCAGCTTTGAGGCAACACATTTTCCCATGTTTTGGTTTGGAATACTGTGTTGTTCTCATGGCAGTCCTGAGCAACACTCTGGGCTCCAGGGCTGTTGCAACAGCACCCAACGAGTTTGCCTGTGTACTTAAAGTGACATTGCACACAAGTTACAAGTTTCTTGGAGTTAAGCCAGAAGAATGAACCAATCAGAGCCAAAAGCCTTTCTCTACAGGAGGAGTACTTGTTTGTTTCCTTTGAGAAGATAGCAATCTCTGTGTGCCGTAAGTGTGAAGGTAGCCAGTGGGTAAATCATTTAGCTAAAAGGACAACACTACTTTCCACATCTATTTAAACATACCTCTTTTGTTTTGTCTGTCTCTTTTGTGTGAAGCCAGCTATGGGGTGTTTTTTTTTTTTATGTAGACAAATGCACATCACTATTTTCCACATCTATTTAA